TTTACTAATAAATAAACAAAATGATTTTCCTTAATTTTTCTCTCTAAATAATCTACTTGTTAAAGTTTGTCCGTTATTGCAAATAGAAAATGTTGAATTCAGGTTGTAATGGAAAAAGCAGAACCCTGAAAATTCAGCGCATAAGAATACTCCATCTGAATCATGTGCCATTATACTCGAAGAAAAATGTTATGTGGTGGTACATGTTGTGCAACCATCCATATGTGCAATCATATGATTCAGACGACTAAGTGACCGACTTCGAGAACACCTTCGCGACATCGAAAGAAATGACAAGGACGCATCCAAACCAGTCGCTAAACACTTTAATCTCCCCAAATATTCTATACAGCATATGGCAGTTTCCGGCCTTTCCCTAAATTTAGGCAGTTCGTAAAGCCGCAAAACACTAGAACAAAAATTTATCTTCCAAATCGGCACTCTTAATCTCCACGGTATCAACAAGCGCTTTTGATTCAACTAATTTATTCTTGTTTTCTCGTCACCATATTCCATTAATAGCATAGCACAATTTTTTCCATTTAAACCCACACACAACCCACAACTCCTCTAATCGCTCTGACGAAGGGCTAAAGCTCGAAACGTCAGCCTTTACACTCTTCACGGTGACCAATTTACGTTTTCATTTCAGTTGTTAACACCAAATTACCTATATATACATGTGTATATATATACACTTATGCAAATAAATACCAAAATTAATATGAAATAAGAAATTAAATGAGCTCTAAAAAGGTTAAAATAAATTGTTTTTTTAATTAACGTTTTAATTCTGCCAATGTCTTTTTCTACTTGAGTGACACCTTCCGTCTTTCCCTAAGTAAGCAAGTGCAGGTGTTACTATTCACAAGGTTGAGACTTTTAATCGAATGGACAGCCATCAAGTCTAGTCGACTTAATATTATTCTTTATATCAGAAACTGCACAAGTAAATTCTGGAAGTCTATGTGTGACCGCAATTAACTAGCGGCTTTATTCGAAGAGAGTTACATTTAACTGTAATAAAAACACTGATGAACTCGTGGCCCTTATTACACTATAAAGCGACCTAAAAATTTGTTTTGTATTTAATTCACAAGCTATACACTTAACAAGGTTATAAAGTAACTGACCCATCGACAATAACAAATACATACATTAATTGATGACAACCTTGAAATAATATTTCAAGCGGTGAGGAGGCTTTCTGGTCATTTATAAATTTCTCATACAAAATGCGCTTGAAATTAGCAACTGATATTTTCTTAGGCTAAACTCTGTCGTACTCCATTGCGTAATTTTCCTAACCGTTAAATTTCATCCACCTCTGTTTTCCGTAAGTACTTTTGACAAATCAAGTTTGATTTTACCATGGCCGTGGCTCTTATCCCATGCATTGTGAATTGGTATCAGAAGCAAATCCAACCAATTTTATTCTCTGAACCGATTTACGATGCCTCGCATTATGTCCATGAGAGTGCGACGAATGGGTCCCATCTTCCAGCAGTATATAACAGGGTTCAAAGACGAGTTGAGGAAAAGCAAAGTCGTTGCATAGAGCCAAGCTTCGTATAAAGAGATTCGACTTTTAGGGCGAGCCAGGGGAAAAAAATAGAGAATGTAGGAAGGCAAATAACAAATCATAAACACAATACATACATAAAATGTTCCAAGAGCTGACTTTCGAAGCTTCAAAAAGTTAGACAAGTCGCCATTTTGAACTCCCTGTTGTACTTCTTGGATTTGAAGGCCTTCAATCTGGATTTTGTGTCTCTTTAAGACTATATAAATCCTCCAGTAGACAATTACCACCAGAATGAAGCAAACAGTCATAATCACCAACCTTATGACTGCAGTAATAACCAATGGAGCCCAAAAGAGATCAGAAGAAGTAAGCGCGCTAAACAGCCATATTGATATTACCGCTGCAATCACGCGCTTGTGAGTCACAAGCTCTTGATATCTGAGATGAAGACGAACAGCTAAGAACCTGTCCACACTTATGGCTACAACATTAAAGAGCGAGGATATACAAAAGAAGTTGATAGCAGCCGACGATCCCTTGTAGGAAATGCAGTCGATACGTTTTTTATTTAACCGGCTGACCAAAGTAGATATGTAGAGCGGTTGGACCAACAAACCAACCCCAACATCGGAGGCAGCCAGGCTCAACAATAATGTTCTCAAAGGTTTTGGCAACAACGCGGTTTTCCTTATCGCATGGATGGTAACGATGTTCAAAATGACGGTTGTATAAGACAAAAAGCTGTTGAAAACACAATTAGCGACAAGTGCCGGACGAAAATCTTCAACAGCCGGAGAGGTTCCAAATAAAAGCTCGTATAGAGTGTCGCAATCGTTTTCAGCCATGAAAGCTGAGCGTTAAAAGTACTTTGGCTCTGATGTTCTCTGATTCTTAAGCGGAAAATTTTAAGCCATGTGTAGCTGTCAATCGCAAGCATATAGAAGCCTAGAATATAAACACCATAGAAGTAATTTGTACGTACATTCCAGATGTCTTCAGCTGTAGCATTTGAATTTTTGAAAAAAGCATCGAGTACCGCTTTCACTCGGCGTTGGTTAAAACAAATTATCTGTTTAATGCTTCAAGACACTTAAACTAAGAAGTTATTGGAAGGAAGGCTGTCATTTACATATTTTTGATCTATCAAAATGAATAAACGAAACGTTATAGTCACTTAAATTAAAGAGCGCTTGACATATACTTCTTTATTATAAATTTGTCTGAATACACTGAATACATCTTCAGAGATCGAGTATTTTATGGTTGGTGAGGGGTGGGGAGAGAGACCCAAATAATTATAACGAATAAATTACACACTCGTTTGTGGCGGATCTAAGAGGTATTCAGAATGTTCAACAAACTTACTAAACTGAGATAGCTATTGTCAAACTGATGATAGTCTATGTGTAAATAAAGCTATAAACTTTTAGCAATTTATAAATACCGACATACTTTTCAGTCGTATTAGTGTAGCTTGGGAATATTTTCCGGGAGTGAATAATTACAGATAGCCCTCCCATCCTTACTGACGACCGCGTTCGGCTCTCACTTCGACCACCTCCTCGCTAGTCGCGGATCCACTTCAGTTCATGAACAGCTGCACTTAGCACAGAAAAAGTCTCATAATGGCCATGTAATTAATATTTTTACATATTTCAACCAAATGAAATGCAGATAAGACATTTTTTCAAACAATAATTCTGCACTAAGCGCTTAAACGAAAAGAGTACAGGAAGTTTGACTATTGTTCATGTTGACTGCTTTTGTAAATTAAAAGTGAGGGCTGGTTTTTTGTAACATTAATACATGTTAATTAGAAGTGGAAAATGCAGTATTGTATTTGCATATGAAAGACTTTAGCCTGTTAGGGTCAGTAAGTAAAGAAAGAATAAAAAAACAACGAACCGGCAAATGATAGGACTATAAATTTATTTCGTACAGAAGTGAAAAGTCTTCGAATGAACAGTGTCAGGAATTGTAATAGTTTCGGTTTACATCGTAAAACACGTCGTAATGAGCGAAAACTTTCTTTCCACTACAATCCTTCAGCTCGATTGGCAGCGACATCTTATTTGCTGCGGTGATACGATAAATTTTGTCATTTCCTAGCCAGAAATTCTTCCCAAAGTCTCCAAAGCCTGATCTATAGTAATTCCAGGTGCGATGGAAGCTGACAGATGCATCCTGTCGCCTTTGGAACACAATCCATCCTCAACTGTCCGTCTCTAGGTCGCAATACACCTCAAACTCTGTTTTTCTGTCAGGGTTGATGGTATAACCACCACTAATGTTGTAGCTAGCATAAAGGATATCATTGCATCCTCTCGCTACACAAGAATTGGATTATGTGCTTAGTGCTGAGTGGTTAGTCCGGACGAAAATATTTAGCTTGAGGTCATAACCAACAGACCGAGCGCAGAAAGGTCACTGCATCATGGCCATGAGGCAAGTGATAAAGATGGGGGCGAATCTATTATTTTTGATGAAGGGCAGAATTCTTCTTGATGGGGGCGAACTAGAAGGCGGCAAACTCTTAATGGAGCGACACCTCTGTGAACCACACCGTCCTAAACGGTATCTAGGAATCGTGAAATAATGACGGCGCACTTACGAGGTCTGTTAATTACAGAAAAAAGTTAAGGCTTCCACTTTCAAGGAATTCAATTGCATTGTCATCGCTATAC